AGAGGGTAGAGAAAACAAGAAATAATTCAAACTATTTTCTAGTGTTTCCTATCTGAAATTTTCCAAAATCAGCCTGTGTCATAGCCACAATAAGAGCTTAAATCTCTGCATAGCCTTCAGCACAAGAAGGAATCTATAGACTTAAGGGACCACGCAGTTTCTTAAATCCCTGCTCTGATTACAGTGTTACAGTAAGTGCACACAGGATGTAGGAAAATCCTGAGGATTGGAAACTCCTCTTATTCTGTAAGAAATGTTTGTGGTGTTCAAGACAACAGATGAGTGTTTGTATTGAACAGATCTCCCTTGTTTGGAACAGAAGAAACAGTTCAACCGCAGAGCATGCTGCCTCCTTGGCCCTCCTCCACCACCCCTGTTTCCACCACCATACTTCAGGCATGGCTGGAGCACTGTAAGTGTGGCCCAGGAGCCCTTCTCTTCTTTTTACATGGCTTTTTATGTATGACAAAGACCGAAGCATCCTCTCAAATACTGCTTCATGGCATCACTCAGCAAACTCATTTGTCTGTGTTGATACGGGTCTGTTAGGACAATCATTTAACATCTCAGGCTGAGGCTTGAAGTAGATCTCAAAGTAATGAAACGAGGCTGGGTTTGTTCACGCAAATAATTTAATTAACTTAAAATATTCTCCTTACTCTGTTTGGGGAAATTTCTTAGAGTAAGGCAATCCTGAACTAAAGGAAATGGCAATGCCATAAAACAAGTAAGGACAGAAATGCAAATTTCCATCCTGCACAGTGATTTCAGGGTGTGCATTATGTATTTATGTGTCCTGCTTTGCATCACATTTGCCTTACCCAGTAGGTAAAATGAAGGTCCTGAAATACTCCTATGGAATCTATTCCCACCATTTAATTCTGCAAAAATACATGTGTTTGCTGATATGGAGTTTTCACTCACCCTTTTAGGCACATACCTGCTCTGTATGATGTGTATCCATACAGATGTGATAACATATGGAATGTACAGGATACAATAGATATATGATATAGCAGTATGCCCAATTACTCTTATTGCCAGGGTCTGTTAACTCCCATACATTTTCTACCCCAGCATTAAGAATTTTTCTACCTACTCAGTATTTCCTATTTCTTAATTCTATTATTCCTTTACCATATACAAGTACTGCAATTATTGCTAGTGTTATATAAATAATGTTTAGTAAGGTGTCTGACAAGAACTAACCCAAAAAGAAATACAGTGTAAAATCCTCTGTTGTCTTCAGAGAGATCAGGATTGAGCTCAGGGTATTATTCCCCCCAAACCAAAATCTAGTTGCCTCCCCCTTCCTCATCCCCTCCCTGTGCCTTGATTTCCACAGAAAGCAGACCCAGGGACAAGATCTCCTTAGGAATGGTGGTGTACTCCTTCAGTGAGGATGAGGTTGGGACCAGGGTCCCTGAGATTCCCCCAAGCAGCCCAGAGAGTAATCTGAGGATAAAATAATCCTTTACACCATCTTCCCCATAGAAAGATAAAATAAAATAAAATAAAATAAAATAAGCAGTCACTAAGAGGGTGGGAGCTACATAATTCACTATGAGCAGTTTGTGCTTTGGAGTCTCTAGTTGGAGCTTTTCTGGAAAATGGCTTTTCACTTGGAAGCTGAAAATCAGTTGTGTTAACCCAGTGTTTCCGTCTCAGTGTTTGTTTGCATTTCCAGGGGAGATCACTTTTGTCACAGGACATAAATAAGCCAGTTTACTCAGGAAATCCTGATTTTTAAGCCAAGAGGTTAGACATTCATTGATGATTGAAGTCATCAGCTCTAGTCTGCAGTGAATGAATGCCTACGGGTTAATATCTTCTGGAGCGAAGTTCACGCTGCCAATACCCTCACTGAGCATAGCCCCTATTATTAGAGCAAAGACACTATTTTTGGAGAGGAGCTGCTTCTTGTAAAGTGGGATGGAGAGAGCAGGGTCAGGTCTAAGAATAGGCCAGGGTCCCACGCTGGATCTGAGGGGCGTGCGGCAGCACGGCTGCGATGTGCCTCTGGGAGAGGAGGAGGAAGCGTGGGGCAGGATGCTATGCTGACGTGCTAATATTCAATCATCCATGAAGATAACCTTGTGACAAACCCTAGGCTTCTCCCTATGGCAGCAAATTAAACTCTCGAGGCTGTAGCATTTGGTGGATGTTTTCTTACACATTTCTCTGGCAGGCTACGTATGGCTGCATGTTCATTCATATGTTTTATGTTATGTAGAAGCTGCTTGCCCTGGATATGAAAGAGTTGTGTCAGGAGCTCCAGATAATACAGGCTTCCTCTCTACCTGAATTGCATTGCCCTGCAGGGCCTCCTGGCCCCCAGGTGAGTGATGCATTTGTAATTAAACCACATCGTCCTCTCACTTGCTCCAAGGTCCTTACAAAGCTGTAAAACATCTGCAAATGCTTTTTACTACTTAATAATCATACCAAGCTCTGGCTTAATTTCATTTTTATATGGCTATGCACAAATCATGTAGGCTTTTTACCCTATATTCTCATCCCTGCCTTGCATACTCCAGTTGTTTTCAAGTGGACGCTTCATTTGTGGAGTTTTACAATAGATAGTACTCATCAAAAATCTTGGAGGTGCCATCTCTTTCTTCAGAGACTCTTTGCTGTTTTTTCTTTGCATTAGACTCTGTTGCCTTGTATGTGAGGGAAAGAGCCTGTGGAGTGGATGCACAAGAGGTACAATGAACTTGAATGTTAGTGGAGTACATCCCTTCAAAGGCAAACACCTACAGTAAGCAGCAGGACGAGGAGGGGCCTCAGGAGGGCAGTGGGGTGGGATTGAGGAGATGTGGAATCTCCTAACTTGACCTGCAAAGTCTCTGCCTCTGACTTGCTGAGTAGCCTTGGGCTAGGGTTTTTGACCTCCCATTTAATTTTCTACAATTTGTACATTCAGAAATCCTCTGAGGGTGGTCAGAAATCTTCTGAGGGAACAGTCCACCTCTAGGGAGAAGATTTTTGTGAACATATATGATGTGTGGAGAAGATCACCCATCTGTCTTTCCATTCCAGTTCATTCCCTCCAAAGAAAAACTTTTCATGAACAGGTACTTTCAGTTTCTCCTGGAGCACAGACGGTCCTGATCTATGTGCTGTGCCTAGTGCTTTGGGACAGTGATATTCCTCAAGGCCCCTGGGTGACAGTTTTATTACAATACCGCTAATAGCAGACATGGCACAGGACCTTTGCTGTAGCAAAACTGTGACTGAGGCTTTGGGAACCTGAGAAGTCAACAAGCATCCAAACACTATTTAAAAAGTATAGACAGTACATTACAGTAAAGGTTCAGTTACGTGGCAAAAAGCTTATTTAGAAGTCTGTACTTCAGAAGGTATTTGTAAATAGTCTGAAGTTGCGATGTGAAAGCCATAAAGTCTTGTTTGATGAACCTTGACTTTATTTTTCTGCCATTTTGTCTTTGCTGAGACGCAGAATGGGGCAGATTCATTTAGTATGTGAATGATGAGGTGTGGAGGGAAGCGATGGGAAGTGTTTGTCCTGTCCTGTATTGAGAAAAGTCTTCTCTGCATTATGAAACAGCCGTGTAGTGTGGTTGGCCACGATCCATAGTTGCAGTACATGTGAAAGAAGCAGTCGTTATTTCTGTCTTCGCTAGACTGTCCTTTTTTAAAAAAACTCAATACTCTCTCTGACTTAAATTGGAAGAACAGTAATATTAAATCCATTGTTCTACAAAGTCCATTGCTATAAATAATATTAACCTTGCAACCAAATGATCTACCACCCCTCCAAGAACATTTTTAAATAGAGTAGGCTGGCAGATTTTATCACAACAGCAGACAGTAGGGTAGGTATAACATGGCTTTGGAATTTTTAATTATAAATTATGGGACTGTGGCTTGCAATGGGACAATGTTAGAGTCAGAAGTCTTCTGCACAATACTTTTATGACAATGGGCACCTGAAAAGAAATGCTAGCATTACTAAAAAAATATCTAAAAAGCACTTCTGAATTTTCTGCTGTAACTTGCATGTCTATCAAAAGAGTTGTAAAAGTGCCTACTGTTGACTCAGAGCTGAATTTTAACACTTTTTCATAAGAAAAAGATTTAGATCTGTAATTGTATAACTCAGAGTATAATTCCTTCCATGAGAAACCTAAGGTAAAATGAAAGAAGTAAGACAAAATTTATCTCTAACTCTAATAGGGTGCATTCTGATTTACACTATTGAAAATCTAAAATAACTCTACCGAGAAAAATAGTTGGAGTAATTTGCATTTGGGGGTATATTTTGCTCTTGTTCATGTACAATTTGCATCATGTTTTGGACAGTGTAAGACAGTCAGGATCCAAACCTGGAGTGAGTATTTGTACGGTGAATCTAATGCTCCTGTGATGCAGGCTTATGGAATTTTTTTCCTTAGTCATTCAAAAATAAAAGGTGGTCTGTGAACTGAAGCATTCTAGAAAGAAAACTGGTTTTCTGAACCTTCTTCTGAGATGGGGTTCAAAGTCCCTCTGGATTAAGAAGTCTCCTGAAAGGAGAATCAGCCTCATTTGAGAGAGAAATATCTTCAGGATTCAGAAGTGGTGGCAATCCTCCATGTCCATACCACATTGAAGAGCCCATCCCACATGTTTTATGCCACTTCCCTTACCACCCCTTTGCCTGATCTCCTTTACTAGCTGATGTAGTGTCTCCATGTTCCTGTTATCACTGATTCTTCAGGACTCCAATAACTTCTTATCTTTCCTTTGCTCCAGACCTTTTTTCTTGCTAGCTTTCTTCATCTGGAAGATGCTCTTGCACAACTCTCCAGCCTGCCATCCAGCAGTGGCACAGACCTGGCATTTAGAGGCTACATTCAAACACCACATCCAACACCCCAACCTTGTGGTATCACACTGTTCCCAGGAGACACCTACAGGGTGAAGGCTTGAGGGAAGACAACCACCAGTGTCTCTTACCAATGAAGTTTAATAGTAGCATTCATTTTTCTCCCTAGGGTCCACAAGGAATTCCTGGTATAATGGGACCAAAAGGGGAGAAGGTAAGTGTCTGTGGTTATGGACCGTGGCGTGTTTCTGAGGGGCAAAGAAAGGATGGGGCTGTTTACCTTTTTCCTTGTCTGTTTAGTGAATGGTGTACCTTATGGATGTGGGTATTTTCTTTAACTTGAATGTAAATCTGTGAATTGGTTTGAAGCTATAATTTAAAGCTTCATCTTTCAGTGTTCATTTTCAGTCCTGAAATACCTTTTATGGCTTCTCATAATAGCTGCCTCTGTCTAGAGTATGTATTAAGAAAGCAGCTCAGGCTCACAAGTCATAATCTTACTGATCCAAAAGCCTTTGAACGCTCTGTTCCTCTGGGAAGACATGAGAGGAAGAGCTCTCCCATGCAGTGTTAATTGTGTGGGTCAGCTCAGATATTAAAACTGGCCTAGATGTTAGGTTATGGCTTCAGACCTGCAAAGCATTTGCTCCATGATGGTGCTTAATGAGCCTTATACCTGAAGCTGGGCACATAATTACATGCTTTGCTATACAAGGGCATGACTGTAGATTTAGGGCTGAGAGCACAGGAAAGACCAAGGAGCTCTGTCAAAGTAATTCTTCTCATTTTACCTCTGGAAGCAATCTTGAACACAAAGATATTCCAAATATTTATTTCTTTTTATAATATAAATGCATTGACTAATGAGCCACTGTGCTCATGTGGTGCCTATGAGACTAACATGTTCCTTTCTCTGGCAGGGGGAGATTGGCAGGCCAGGAAGAAAGGTATGAACCAAGATGCTGTCTCAGAAAGCCATCTAATGCTTGACACATAGCAGCTATCAGAGAGGGAATGCAGACAACAGTTAAATAAAAATTAGCTAATGTTGTAGTTTAATCTGTTTGTGCTATTTCCCCAGGTACCCAGGGTGGGTGATAGGGACCCCTGGGTGTAGGGCTGGACAGCTGGACCCTCTGGCTTGGAAAGGTGTCCCAGCTGGTTTGAATTCAATAAATTCCCTCGGTAAGAGCATGCGGCTCTGGCCAGACAATTAAAACAGAGTAGGAAGTTGCCTGAACTGTGCCTCTGTGGACAGGGGAATCAGAGTATGGGAGTTATCATAAAAGGTGTATTAAAAAAAGCCCCCAAAAAAATCAAACTTTTGACACCTCCAAAGTCTAAACAAGGCTAAACAACAATACCCCCAAAGGAGGAATAACCGTTAATGATTACACTTACAGAGTTTTGACACAAATGCTATATGCTGACTACAATCCTATGCCTGGTGACATATGAGCCATGATATATTATCAAAAATATGTGCCCCTACATGTGATGAAACAGAATACACTATGTCAGATGCTAAGTACCTCCATTTAATGTAATTAACTTTTAAAGAAGATAGAGATGCAGGATGAAATCAGAGGTATGCAGAGGGGAGTCACTAACCAGGAAAAGAAGTACCCTTCTAATAATACACCAAGGATTTAAACACCCTTCTAATAATATACAAAGGTTTTTAACACCGGCTACCAATCAGTAATTCAAATAAATACAAAATACATTTAATTTAAATTGCAAATGCCCTACAGTAAATAAAAATATTATTAACATAACAACATATTAAACATAAATTCAAGTGTTCAAAACAGTGATGTCTCAGAGTCATCCACCAAACTACAAAGAGAGTGCAAACCTTAAACACGTTACATCTGTACTTACTCTTCTGACAAAAACTAGTAGTGCCCAGAAAATAAGTTGATCAGGTTGGAAATAAAATGTTATAACTGTTGTTAAAAGCTGTCTGGCTCATGGGATGTCACTGAGCCCCTAATGTCATGATGACGTTTCTAAGATCATATTGTCAAGTTGCATAAAGCAGTGGAATAGCACTAATCTGCAGGATTTTAGGAGATACTCAAAGAGTGATTTACAGGCAGTAATCAAAATAGATACATGTATGTAGTTATTGCTAGTCATATAGTAGCTAATAAAGAGCAATTACAGCTATTAATATGAGAATGTTCAAAATAAGAACGGTAAATAAAAATATCTTAGTAAGGATTTGGTTCTGTTTTTAACAGAATAAATTGCATTCATACTGATATAATTGCATGCATGTCTTTTTGATTTACATTATATTATTAAATGAAAAGACAACTTAAGTTATTGATACTGGGGTTTTAGGATTATTATTCTGACTGTATGTAGATTTATTCTGTACCTGACCTACTTATTTGAATCAGTATAACCTGCTATTTCTGCAAGCCCACTTCCTACAGCAGTATCAACACAAACTGTATTATGAATATAGTATTTTTTGTATTAAAAACATGGTAACAAAGCATTTCAAGGTCTTTTCCTGAAAATACTTTACTCCTCCGTATCTCCTGTGTGCAGTGGAGGCCTGTGTGTAGGAATGATGTTACATGAATCATTGTAATCGATGTTTTCTGTTCAAGGGTAGACCAGGTCCCCCGGGCATCCCTGGGATGCCAGGACCAGTAGGATGGCCTGGACCTGTGGGACCGAAGGTAAGACTAAAATTCACATGGAATAACCTGTTCAACATCACAGTCTGAACAGAAGAGTTCTCTAGGGAAATGTCTAAACCGTTATCTACTGGAGGCTGGGAAGCTGCAGCAGCACAAGGACACTGTGCTTGTCCTGTTTCTTACAGTGCTCTGCAAAGACCTGCACAGTCTAGGGTTAGGTTACTCCACCTTCAGCCTAGCCCCTGTAGCACTTCTTATGTGGATTAAAATGTGTCAAAGGAAAATCGAAAATCAATCTAATGAAGACTCATTCATAACCACCAGTGTCTCACAATCATGCAAATCAGTGTTTCCAAACTGATCCTCATCTTTATGACTGTTGTTTATGATGGTCTCTGTCTGAATGTGTACTTCTTCGCAGCATAAATGTATGCCCATGTGATCAGAGGGAAAATACCAGGCTGTTATCAGGAGAAAGAGATTACAAATCATGAGGATTGCTGATCACATCTTTGAAATTAATTCCCATACAAACAAACATTAATTCCTATGATCTTTAATAACCAACAGCAGAAGAAATGGCAAGGCACTCTTTGCTACTGCAGAGTGGTTGCTTCATCTGAATTTATTATAAAAAAGCTGCAGGACAGTCCTTTACTGAGTATTATCTTATGCAAAAGGTATACAGCTCTTCACAGGATCCACAGCATATGGAGTTTCTACTGGGACTTTTGAGATAACTTGCTTTTCTTCAATCCAGTATGCATCAGGTAAAAGGACTGCACACAATGTTTAGTTCAAAGCTGCATTTTGCAATAAATCTTTGACTTTTCATTTGCTCCATGAAGGTTGGTGCCCATACCTCAGAGGACATGATGCAGTAGTTCTTGCTACTGCAAGAATAATAGTAGATGACTATAGTAGATGATTCAAACCTCATCTGGGAAGTAGCCTCACAAGATCTTCGCGGCTATGATAGATGAAGAACATCACAATATAGTATGTGGAATGTAGGCAAGCAACAAGAGAATATGTACTTGAAAGGAGGCAATGTTCACTTTGAACTATGAGATAGGAAATGGTGTGTCCCCCCAAACACATTCTGTGCTATGATTTCCCACAGTGGGAGCAGTGAAAGCAGAAGGAAGGTCCAACTACCTCCTTCCCTCACAGTCTTAGTACTGAGAGCAGAGCAGTCAGAAAACTCATTCACTTAGCCTTTTCTTTATATAAGTTCTAGTTTTATTTGTGAAGTCTTCCTAATTTTGGTTTTATCTCCTCTTTGTCTATTGTTATTTCATCACACTCCTATAAGCATCCCTCACATTCAGTAGTAATACTTTTTCCTATATTTTGACTGCAAGTCCTAATTGCTGTTTGATTCCAATTCTTCTGCTTTTATTGTCTCATCTGATACCTGTCTCTTCTGTTCTTTAGATGGGTTCACACTTTCATTCCTTCTGGTCTTTATAAATTTTGGTTTCATGCCTGTCAACGAAGGCTCCAGTCTAATAGAGGCCAGCAGATCTTTGTGCTCTCTTCCACTGGTTGTGCCTCTCTTTTCCTTCACTTCGTCTCATCTCTGGTATTTCCAGATACTCATCTTCACCACAGTCATTTGCTGCATCCTCTTCTTGCTGTAAATCTCCAGTAAGCTGCTGTTTGGTCTGGTTTCAGGGTTTTTTCCCATCTCTATGCCTTCTGTTTCTTCAGCTAGGTCTCCTTACTCGTCTTCTCTTTCTTTGACACAGCCTTGGTCCAGTCCTTATTTCTCCTACTTTGTTTCTTCAAGTCTTTTCTGAACTTCTGCTGGGGCAGCAGCCAATGTGAAAATCCTCTCCATTTCTAGGACAGTGAAAGCCAAAGGAGAATGAGAGCCAACTGTATTATGCTGGTAGCGCTGCTGTATGTCTGTGGGGACTGCTCTGTATTTCACGCTAGATATAATTAGCTGACAGCAGCCAGAGAAGTTGTTGTAAAGCCTTTTCATGATTTACTGGCTCCAAACCACTGTAAAACACATGATGTCTCAGAACTGCAATAAAAGTAGTCAGTGTGCCTCCCCAAGCCCTAAAGTCTTGCAGCAAAATACCTTTCTTTTCTGCAACTCTGTGGAAGTGATGCTGAGTAGAGACAATGCACCTTCATGCAGAAAAAGGATCCACAGTTGCTGTTAATTTGCTTGTGTGTCCTTTAATAACATCTGGCAGAACTGAAGCACGTTACGCGCCCAAGAAAATGCAAATAGAAGAATAAGATAACATATGAGGACTCAGACAGAATGCAATTGCAGTATAGACCTCTGACTACAGTGCTATGCCAAGGTCAGGCTTGTCTCAACTCGGTGACATAAAACCTGAACCGCTAAACTGTCAGACATTCAAATATGACCTCATCAGAGAGCCACAATCAATAACTCTCTTTATTGACCCCTTTAGGGTGAAAAGGGAGAGTTGGGTGTGATGGGATTGCCAGGTACAAGAGGACCAATGGGCTCCAAGGTTTGTTAACCAAATGCTGCATTTTCAGACATTGGTTTCTAACGCTCTGCTGACAGCTGCTTCCCTCATGAATTTGCTGGAAAGCATTTATCAAGATATATCTTTTCTAATACAGCTAAAAAAATATGTTCTACTTCAAACAAGATAATGTTGTCTGGCTGGGCTTGGCTGTGTTTTTGGCTTTTCATAAAATTGCTTTGGTATAAATTACTGTGATGCAAAAGTTCATTTTAAAAGCAAAACTCATCTATAATTGTATCCCACTAGAAAACTGGAATTCTTAAGCATATCTGCAGCATTTAATCATGTCTGCAATGTTTTTCACCCACCTCATAAGACTGTGGAGATCATTTTGGTCCTCTACTAAAACCGTGCATATGTATTGACAGTTGGATAGTAAGCAAAATTTGATCTTGGTGTTCTAGTATCTGCACATCATCGTCTATAACATATCCTCTGCCTTTAAAAATTTAAGCCACAACATTTTAAGGTACTTGAAAAAAATATATAATCAGTTTATTGAAATAAAGGGCTGGAAAGAAAAATTGAACACTGATGTTTATTATATATTTCTTAAAGAGAAATGCAGTTTTATAGTAATCTTCACATTAGAAGATTACTTAAGTATAATTTAAGGATGTTCCATGGAGAAAAAACAAACCAGAAGAAGAAGATTATTACTAAAATGATTTTAGATTATTAATTGTGGCTTTATTCACTTTCAGTTACATTTTATTTCCCTTGTTTCGGTTTTAAAGCAATAGCAAACATGCTGGCTTTACCTGGCTTTTTTACACTGGCTTTTGGGCTGAGTTGTCTTGCCTTTAATTCACATTTCATAGTTCTGTTTCAGTGCAATTTTAGAAGCTATAAATATTCATTTGCGTTTACAAGTTGATGCAATTAATTATCTGTGCTTCGTTCTTTTTCTTCACTTTAAAGTTTGAAAGTCCGGCTTCTTGGGTGATTTTGAAAGTGAGAAGCATTAAAATATCTATCATTCCCTTTAGGGTTTTCCTGGAACTAGAGGAGAAAAGGTCAGTGTGACAATAGATTAATGTATAATTTAACAATTGGAAACAATTATGTAAAAAAAGTAACTGTAGAAATGAGACTGAATGTTGATGGCGTGAAATCTAAAGGTCCCACTGAGAAATGAAAACAAGCATTGAGAAGGAGCACAAGCTTGGGCTGGGATGCTGAAGAAGTGAGTTTTACACCCCATCTTCTTGTGAACAAGTTACTACAGTGCACCTCACTACAGTTTCCCCATCTGTAGAATGGCTATAATAATTCTTGTTGGTCTGGTTTATTTAGGGTATATACACTTTGGCACAGAGACAGTTTTTACTGTAAGTCCTTACAGTGGGACCTGAACTTGGATAAAGCCAACTGGGGAAAAAAAATCAAGTTTGGAAGTATTATGTCCAGGAAAGCACATATTTAAAATAATTTTCTAAGGAGAATGTTTACCTTTTCCTACAAGCCTTACTCTTAATGATGTTATAGTATCAAGTAAAGTAATAAGGTAAAATTTAAAGTATCTACCATATACCTCACTCTGGAGATATTGCTGTATTATGTGTGACTCCAAACAATGTCTCGTTTAGGAGAAATATTTTTTACTTCCTCATAAAATGGTAGCAATTAAGCTGTTGTCACCCTGTTATCTCTCTCCAGGGATCCAGAGGTGACAGGGGTGACAAAGGAGTCAAAGGAGACCAGGTAATTTTCTTTTCCAAATGGTTGTGAGCTTTAGCTGAACATGCCCATAAGAACCAGTGTACTTCTGATAGCAAAAAACTGGAGTGGTGTGGAGGAAGGGAGCCTGGAGGCATCTTCCTGGGAGGGGAAGAGTGGCAAGGGAACGTCCTACATGATAGGAGGGCAGTGGGGCCGCCTCTGTGTCCACATGCCCCCCAGCGCATAGTGGGATTGATGAGCCAGAGGGGGATTTCCCTGGAGGTAACCTCAGTCTCTCCTGGCCTGTGCAGTCCAGAACCTCAAGACCTTGCCAAAATGCTTTTAGCTGGTGATATGATAATGCTGGGAGGGGGGAGGGGGTGGATTGGTGGTTCCTTTAACTAAGAAAGGAAAAATAAAATGCTTTTGATGTAAACAGAGAAATGCCATTCGCAAACATAGGCTTCGGAAGTTGTCCAGGTCGTGACAGCTGCCTGTAGACAAAAGCACAATCCGAATGTTTTGCTGGAGGAGAGGAAGCAGGAGGCAGAGGAACAGAGTAGTGTTACTGTACAAGGGGCTTTACAGTAAAATTTTGCTTAGAATTTTCCACCTACCACATCACTCACAGTGATGAATCACAGAGTGGGTTTTTTTAACCGATATCAGTCCAGGGCACTTGTTTTTCTTCCTTCCAAGGAAGGTGCTGCTTTGTCAAAGATCACTCCACATTCTTTGATTACTTTTCTCCTTTTGCAGGGAGAAATAGGCTTCCCTGGAATGCTGGGACAAAAAGTAAGTGAGTGTGATGTGTTGGGGAGTTGTGTTAAGTGCTGACACAGGGTCAATAAGTGGCTTCAGGGACATCCTGGAAAGCATAAGACATTGGAGGTCTTGCTTCACTCAGTGACCAACACTACTTGGACTTGATCAAATTCCTTAGGCTTTTTATCTTAGGTGAAAACTCTGTTGTTGTTTCTCTATTTTCCCCAGAACATTGGCTTAGTCATAGTCTTCCTTCTGTTTAAGTTATTCAAACTCTTGATTATAGATTCATAACTGCCCTAATTGTTTGGGTTTTATTAATTTGAAACTAATAAATATTTCCTTCTTGATACTCTGAATCACAATGACACTACTACAAATAGCAGCGACAACCATGGCCAGTTTTTATGTCATGATTATTCTGTACTTGAGAAACAAGCAAAATTCAGATGATGTCCAATGTATAGGAAGCCTAAAGGAGGATAATTTTATGACATAATCACATCTTATCTCTGAAATTAGGATAAGGAAATGGTGGTCATTTCTAAGGAAGCTAGAAGATGAGAGAATTCCTCTCCCTTTCCCTGCGTGATTTTATTGCACATGCATCATAACAGCATAGCAAGATATTGCCAATGGGTCAGAGAGTTTTGCTAGCCTTGACCTCTCCAAGTCTCTGATCATGTTTCTGATCTCTCCAGTTAGACTCCTCTTTAGGAAAGGGTATTTCAGAGAAATGTAGGTAAATTGTAAGAGATATTTTCTTCATTTTATGCTTGTTTTAAAATATTTTATTGTAATTTTGGATTTTTGAAAAAGAAACAGTGTCAGCATTATCTAGAGCAGTCATGTGAATAAAAGCACTGTCCGTCTGCTATCTTGTATAAGGTGGGTATAACCACGTACTTACATCCTGCTTCCTTCCCTCCATACCCACCAAGGGAGAGATGGGCCCGAAGGGACAATCTGGAGTACCAGGACACAGAGGACCTATTGGAAGACCCGGAAAACGAGGCAAACAAGTAAGACCACAGTGTTTGCTCTTCCCATGTCTCATGTCATCTCTGTGGTCATGGCGTACAACCGTGTCATCTGTGCTTTTGTGGTACCATGCACTTTATCACACAGGGAGCAGACAGAAGCCTTGAAACACCTCACATCCATGCACAGGCTACACAGGAGTTAAAACATCAGCTTTCGGGCTGAAGCCTTATCTGTATCATTCAGCTCCCTGGCCATGAAGCATGGGGAGAGTTGTATTTTTCCTGTCTTGGTAATGAACTTGTGGAGTACAACCTGAGCAGACCTTGAACCCCTCCTTTGAATCCTAAGCAACACAGAGCTATTGTCCCAGGCCCACTTGATGGCTAGAGAGTTGGTGCGAGGTCCAGGTCTCAAACAGTGTGAGATGTAATGCTGTGGTGCCCTACACTTCGTAGATCCCAACCCTGAAGCTGACTTAGGGAGCTGGCAGACAGGCAGAGCGAAACGATAAATGGAATATATCTAAAATTCAACACATTTCAGCCTGCCCAGGTCCCATTCTCTGTCTCTCATGAAAATAGATTCCTGGGATGCGTGAAGGAAGGTATGTAGCAAAACACTGGCTTTCTGGGGGTCTGAGGGAGGGATTGCTGTGAATGTTACAAGAAGCAGTTCCTCCTCACTTCAGCTCTGGGCAGAGTCAGTGTCAGCATCTTGCAAGGGAGGTCCCATCATCTGTCCATGAGTTTTCTCTCTGGCTCACTAGTGCAAAAAGCTACACTACGGCTAGCAAAACCACTGCTTGTGTGCACTGGCAGTAGCTGTACACTGAGAATGGTTTGCTGTAATGGATTAAACTACTATGTGGTCTATGGCAATGAAAGCCACTGGTCTATACCTCAAACCCCAGTCCTGTATTACACTATAATATAGTCCTGGGTTCTAACACATGCACTGTGTCTGTTCAAGCTCTGCCCTTGCTGCCAGGCCTGCCTGGAGGATGTTTTCTGTCCACACCATCCAAATTGTCTGAGTCAGACTTTGCCCAGGCCCCAGTGTCGAGGTCAACACAGATCAGCTGGCAGAACCACAAGGCCTTGGAGATGTCCAACACACCATTCAAAGAACCAAAATGCTGAAACACTCTGTGTTTCTCCTGTTTCATCTGATAACACTAAACCAAAATTGATTTGTTAGACTGGATATTTATATGGTGGTTCTTGCCATGGTACTGAATGCCAGGGACAGATTCTTCAGCTCTGAAAAAGGTCAGGAAGACACATAGTGAGTGACCTTAAGGGATGGTAGTCTTGTGTGGAAGATGTTCAGGAATTAGATGGTTGAAAAACAGTCCTTATTTAGAGCTCAAAATAATTATGCTATTTTTTTCAGATGAGTTGTGAAGTCAAGGAATTGTGTGTAAATTTGATACCGACTCCTCCACTATAGCATTTTCCAAGGAGGAGGTAGCAATATCGGTATAGTTACCTGTTCAAGTCACCCAAATGGGCCTCTTTGAGTGCACCTTTCCTTTTGTATTTATTGTAAGCAATGATATTGGGCGTACAAACGAGACCAGTTGCTGGTGCTCTGGATTGTCACCTACAGAGCCTGTTTCTTTCTGCTGACTAACAGGGAAGGGAACCTGTTCTCACTACACTGGTGTTGGTGTTAATATACGTCTGCTCAGATACAGGAGCCTGTAGATGCCGTGGTTAATGGGCTTAGCTGAAAGTATTTTATTTACAGTCTGGTTATGGCTGAGCATTGCAAACAGAGGCACATACCTGCTTCACTGTTACTTTCATGCCATCAGCTAATATCTGAAGTAAAAGAATAATCAGTGTGGGGAAAAATTAAAAGCTGAGTGTTAGGGAGAGAATAATAGTTCACCAAGTAAGGAAGGTATGTCCAGTGTAAGTTAGCTAGATGACCCACAAGAAATATTTTTTTTTGTCCTTGATTTGTCGGGTTTTAAAAGCTGTTATGTGCTCTGTTGATTTTTTGTTGTTGTTGTTAACTCTGCTCAGCTGTCCTGCCAAAGTAATAAGCACAGAATATCTTTCCAAAGCATAAGGTGAAGAGAAGATGCAGAGCTTGCAGATCAATTTGAACACAGTGGACTCCTTACTTGACCTTAGACATTTTGTCACATTACATAGTGTCTTAATCAAAAAGTGGTGATATAAAGCGTGTCATAATTTAAGGCAACAATCAGTAAGACTAAAAAACCTATATTCCAACCCTAAATTAGGATTTCCAGGCCCAAGGCTCCATACACAAATCCCTTTCTGGTGCCAGAATTGACAAGGTGATTTCAGCTTTGATCTTCTGCATGAAAACTGGTTTTCCTCTCAGTAACTGGTGAACTAGCTATTTCCTTTCTTCTTTTCTAATCCTTTGAAATAATTTGGGAGTAGCTTTTAAGACTCTTTGGGTCTGGCTGCTGCCTTTAAGTGCTGTAGTTGTCTGGTTGTTTGTTCAGCTGAGAGGATAGTTTCCATCAACATGGGGCCATTTCCTGTCTCTTGATCCAGATGACATCCCTAGATAAAAGCAGCTAAATTAGGAAGGTGTTACTTCCACTTCCATTTTGAGATACGTCTTGATTACCTCACTGACTTCTTCAACTCTCCCCTGCCTCTGGGGCAGGCTCTTCCTAAAAGGTGGCCAGGAGTCACAAGTCACAGCCTCACTGTCCTCTAACTGAGATATAACACTCAAAGCTTTGTAACTTGGGAACTGACCCAAAGGAGCAACTTTAGGGTTTCAGTCTTGATAAGGAGGAATGACTTAGGGATTTATATAGGGCTTCCTTTTGAAGGAAAGTAGAGGAATATATTGTCCATGGGAAAGCCATGAATGCCATGGGTGCATGTGAAAAGGACAAGGCAAAAATATTTAATTATTATGCCACTATTATCTAACTTATCTGTGCTAAACAAGAAGGCATTAAGCAATCAGTCCTCCAAAGCAGGAGACACAGAAGACAGCTCATTTTCAGGCAGTACATGTCCAGCTGGTGCTGGCTCGCGTCTGCCAGATTGCTCTTGTGTAGGGGAAAGAGATTTCCCACAGACTTCTTTGGGACTACAAAATCCTGGTCTGATAGTTCTGTGTTGCATAATGTAAGAAGTAATTATGGATCAGCAACGCTGACATTCACATAAATCCTGGAATGTTTTGATGGCACAGATCTTACCTAATAGGATTAAACAAGGCAAATATTCAATTAGTACTTTATGGGCCATGGCAAAATCAACCTTCCTCTGTTGAAATGGTGCAAGTGACATTCAAACGTATCCATGGGATACAACATATTATATAACAACAAATTATTTTAGCATGTATTGCTATCTATGCTTCATTACTCTGAAATTAGACATGCAACCACTTGTCATGTGCCCGTGGATTAACCTGGGATTACACCATCTTCAAGGAATTCATCACCTTTTCATTAAAAGAAAGCTTACCTAGTACACATCATTTTTGTTATTCTGAATAATGTATTATGTTATATAACAATAAAACCAGATATTTTAAGTTTAAGCTATGTAATACACTTCTGAAATACAAAACTGAGAAATCCAAGCCTTGGCGAGTATATGAGTATGAAGATAAACATAGTTATTTTTAATAAGTGTCGCCATATTAAATTAAGGAGCAAAAATAGGAAGGTGCTGAGCAGTTCTAGGGTGAAACTTCCAAATGCCTGAGGGTTTGGCTGCACAAACAAGTTCCCATGAGGAAAATTAGGGCTGATTTTACAGAATATTATCTGTTGTATGGTAACTGTGTGTAAGCTCGTCTCCCATAGGTAATTTTACAGCATTTTGACTGAGTGATAAGGTACCAGAGGGACACGATTTGTCAGTATGGCGTTGTCACACACTAGCTTGCACTTTGTAAACAGCCAAGCCCTTGCTTTCCTTGCAATGATTTGTTAACATAGCTATACCCACGGTGGAAAACAAGGAGATGCAGGAGTCCAGGTACCTTAAGTACTTCTGAAAACACTGTGAGCCTCAAAGTCATTAGTGTGCTTCTGAAAGACTGCACCCTAAGACTGGAAAATGTCACTGTGGAAGCCCTTGCAGACTCTTTAGTGAATTTTCTCTTTTTTCCCCACAGTGTGTATTAGTGCACTAACTAAGGATTTCCAGGGTCAGCTATTTCAGCTCCACCAGCCCTTTCTTTCTGAGCTGCACTGACTCCTAGAGAGCTGCCGGGTGTTAAAAGACATCCTTAAAGAAAAGCTATCAAATTATTTAAGTCAGAGCAGGGTGATTCCTGACTCCACATAGAGCAGATCTCTGAGACCGTTCACGTTTAGAAGCAGAATTCCTGCCTGGACATGCTTTTCAGTCTCCATGTAGAAGAGGAGAGCACCTCTTCCCTGGGGTGGTGACTATGGAGCTCATGCTGCATGCTTGTATTGGCAAAAGTCTTGGCTTTCTTGAAAGGGAGGCCAGAGCTGGGTGGAAGAGGTTGTGTGGTATTAATAGCAAATAAATGGATGTCTCCTCTCTCCTAGGGACTAAAGGGAGACATTGGACCTGCGGGTATCATGGGTCCACCTGGAAGGCCTGGTCCTTCTGGCCAGCCAGGCCCCCCTGGACCTTCAGGATCAGGTAAGCAGGAGATGAGGTGATCTCCTAAACAGTGTCCCTGCTCCCATACACCTACATAGGCCCCTTTACAAAAAGTGCTGCAGGGCTTCATTTGCTTCTCCACTGAAAGCAAGGAGAGGATTTCTCCTGAAGACAAGTCATGCCACTCTTGGGCTCTATACCTTACTTTAAAGCCTGCATTATGGCTGTTTAAAATAAAGCCTATGTGGTCCCTGTGGGACTTTGGTAGATGAAAAGACATCTGGCAGCCTTGGAGGGACTGGTTAATCTTCATCATCAAAGGTCTGTGGCTTCTCCAGATATCCTGGCTTACAGTGAAAGACTGTGATTCCTAATCAGCCAGGACATACTCATCCTGTGCAGCTCTGTAAAAGAAAAACAGATGAGACTCAAGTCACAATGGCATTAGGGAAAGAAGGGAAGAGAAGAAAATAGATAGGAGTCAGAGGGGAAAAAAGCAATGGAGAAAAACTCTCTCTGTACATAAGTGCTGGAGATGTATGCTCACTGCAATTGTACATGTTGTAGAAATCACAAGAAAAATCTCACAACTGGTAATTGTATGGCTTCAAAGCTATGCACGCACATGAACTCTGGGCAGCTTGTGAGACCAAGCACAGACATGAAGGACAATACACAACCCACAGTGTTCAGTGACAGGGAAGCCTCAGTTTTCTCAACTTGGATAAATAATAAAGTATCTGAAAAGAAAAACAAAACCTATTAGAAACTACTGTTGCTCCAAATGGACAACAGCTGCTTGTACTGCAGCTGATCTGTTCAATGTCCTCTTCCATTTTGTTTTCCCTTTTTCTTCCCTTGCATACATCAGTGGGCAGGAGGTCTCTTCTTGTGGTGGTGTGGAAATGGTACATCTGTGAAACTGAGGCCTGCTTCAAGATCTTCACATATCTCATATTTCCCATTATGAGACATCTTTGTCCTGAGTAAATTAGCTGAAAGTTTTCAGAGGGCAGAATGTTCACCATGCTAATAGGAAGGCAGTCAGGATCTTGAGATTACTTTTTAAAGGCTTTATTCCATCCACAGAAAGTTTATGTGTTAGGCTTGTTAATCTTTCTCCTCTAGAATATAAATTCTGATTCTAAAAGACCTTTATGTAATGATGTCACTGCTTGCAGTATGAACATGTTGGCTCATAGTCTAATTCTGCAGAGTAGCACATCCTTGCCAAAGTTTGAAAGTCAAAAAGCATCATTTTTTTATAACTTTTATTCGTAGCACTCCTGCATCTTTACTTGGGTTTTCCTGTACAGAAACCTCAAGCAGCATTACTCAAGTGGTTGTACAAATGCACAAGTCCAGTGTGTCGTAGATGTGTACAGAGACTGACTCTACTAAACTTGGTGCATAGGTGTAGAGTGATTGGTATGTTCATCGTGTCCTGAATTTCTGTATCTTCAAACAGGATGACATTTATTCTAAGTAAATGGTCTCTCTCTTTCTCTGTAAAGTTGGTAGAAAAATTCTAAGTGTGATCTGAAATAATATGACTGTGGCACAGACTGGGGTCTTCTTCCTGAAGTGCTGGAATTGGTGGTTCTGGTAATCCCTTCCCTCAGTTCCCAGTGGATTTTCTGGGAGATGTGCATATCTGAAAACTTAGGTACATGCATCTGTCTGCCTGACCTGTACTTTTTCCACTCAGGCTGAGTTTACATATTGTGTGTTAACTTCATAACAAGGCAACCTGGTATTTTGCTTCCTAGGGCAATTCGCAATAGGACCAAAAGGTGAAAGAGGACTTCCAGGGCCTCCAGGGAGATGTCTCTGCAGAGGCCCACAACATGTGAATAACCCACCATATGAGGAATCCGTGCTTGGACACCGTTATCCAAAAGTCCCTGCAGTAAGCAAATGTTCTGGGAGAGGATGTGAGCTGTTCTTAAGTACTTTTATTGTAAGAGGTGGTGTACTCACTAGTGGTGCGCAGGGGAGGTGTCTGTATATGGGCAGCGTGTGATTTCTAGCATCCAAAACCTCTGCATTCCAGTCGGTACAACAGAGTTTGGTCTCATAACTAGTCCAAGGGTTGTGTGATTGAGGTACTGAAATGCAACTCTTTCAAACCATCAGTAATGTAACATGTGTTTAGAAACCTTTTTTCAAGCCTGAGGATGCCCTCTCTTTCATCTCCTACTATACATATATAATCTGTTCTTTTTATTTCAGTATAACAAAATATATTTCAGATTGGTCAGTGAAGTAAGCATCTCTTTCTTGCTTATTTTTTATATCTTCTGCAAAGAGAGTGATTTCAGAATTGAGTATTTGAACCAGGCATTTTGCGTATATGATGGAACTTTCTAAGCATAGACACTCTACCTCGAACCAAAAAGGAGTCTCTGCAAACCGTGGGAGTCAGACTTCTGAGCTCCTGTGGGTAGACATACATGTTATATAGTTAATTTCAATCTCTACCCTTCTTGAAAGCATTTTTATGAGAAAATTGGACAAAGTACTTCAAAGGACAAGTCATTGGTGGAAAGTGACCCAGCAGTTTTTCATCTCTGATTTCTTTGGTCTTTGTAAATACTATTTCTGTACTTGTCTTTCTGCGGGGCTCTGCCCTATTATTCTGTGCATTGTAGCACTTAATCAGTAATGAAAATGCCACCTTGCTGTTCTGTACCAGCATAGCCCAGTCACTCCACTCATGCAAGTGGGGATTGCTCGTCTGGTTGTCCCTGAATGACAATAAGCAGCAATTAACTTTGTTAAGTTGCCCATCTGTCATGTTGTCAGGAAGCTGTTACAGTGTGTGAAAGGGACATATTCACAACACTGTCCATTAAACTGGGTCATTGAACTCAATCTTTTGCATGAGGGTGTTGCAAGTCCTGTCAGCTGCTCACTCATCCCCGTCTGTGTCACATTACAAAAAAAAGCCCCGTTGATTTTAACACATGATGGTGAGAGAAGAAAGTGCATGAAATGAAGGTGCATATCACATCAGGCTGCATGCTTTTGCAGAAAAACTATCGTGTACTTCACAGCATGGAGAGCGCAGAGGAAAAGATATAAGGCTTGCAATATTCTGTGTAGGTCTTATCACCCTCCTGAATAAGGCACAGTTCCATATTATATCTTAAAAGATGGTAATAGGAGTGTATAATAACTACCTAAAATATAAGTACCCTACACTATTGCTACGAACAGTCATTTGATGACAATCAAGCGCCTTTTTGTGCTCAGAAATGCAAGGTGACAAAGAAGCCAGCCTCAGCTCTGAAAACTGAGCGCTTGCAGAGAGCAGTGTTCCCCGTTTGCCTGCCTCATTTGTTTTACTCCCATGAAAGTCAAGAGCAGGAGCTTAAACGTTGCTTATATTTATTCTGTTCAGATCCCCATGTAGCAGCTTTGAAGCCTGCCTTGTACCACTTGAAAACTGTTGTCAGGGTTTCAATAGCTGCAGGCAGAAAAGACCCAGAGATGGTGCCCTCTGCCCCCCATCCTGGTGTTTGCCAAAGCAGCACCCCACTGCAGCATGTCCCCAGTGCAACCACCCCCCCGTCTGTCAGCTCCCCCGCTGCCAGCACTGCCAGAGGAGGGGCGAGGCTAGGAAACAAAGCGCTGTTTTTCTGTCACTGGCTACGATTCATTTCGGATTTTGAATCTTCCACAATTTCAAAGGCTGGTATCTGTAAGAGAGAGTTTCAGATAGCCCAGATCTGCTATTGATTTCAAGAGAAATTAGAGCTCTGGAGCTGGAACTTGAGCTCCTGAACACAATTACAGAATCAGTTCTTTGCTGGCTTTCTGTTTCTTTGCTTTCTTTCAAGCTGAGGGCATTTTTCTTCAATGCTTCTTTAATGAAATTGGCCTTTGTTGAGGGCTATGGGAATATTCGGCTATGTAAAAAATTTCAGGATAATTTGCTTTAAAAAGAGCCAATTCTGATTATGCTGGTGGGGATTAGGCTCAGCACTAAATCCATCTTCCTCAGAAGCACTCCATTTGCTTTTTCTTAATTTAAAAATGGTTTGAATCTTGTTAAAATTAATTTGATTAAGATGCTGAAGGAAGAGATTATTTCCTAATGCCCCTTACAGCCAATTTCAGTGACTGGGACATAAAAAACTTGCTAAGAGAGCAGCTCGTCCTACTTTTCCATTTTGAACTATTTTTTTTTTTTTTTCTGTTTAATTGAAGATGTGGCTTCATATACTAAAATATATGCATATCAAGAAACATGCATTTCTATGCCAATTAAATCTAAACAAAGTGGTAAAAGTGAAGGTTGCATTGAGCAATGCATTATTTATTTGTGGCCATGAGCATGCCTAAAAATTATAGACAAACCCACAAAAACCATTTATGCCCATATAGATTTTGCAACTGTTCCGACATCTAACCATTTGATCATCTGACTCTTCTTCTCAGCAATAATTGTGCATGAGTACTTGCATGATCATTACCTGTGGGTGCGCATTTTGAAACAGGGACCACTGGAGCCATAGCTAGGTGCTCAGGAAAGACCATTCTCCTTTGGAAACTTATGTCACTTCTTACCAGTCGTAAAGAAACCTCTTATGACCTGACAGTCCATGGGTGTAAGTTCTCACACCATTCTGTTTCTGAAAACAACCACATAATTCTTCTGTGTAATCATTTATCTATTTGCAGATATATATGTCAATTGGAAAAACTAGATTCCATGGCAATCCAGAATACTTCTCGAGAGGGTTACCAATCACCTTTTTTTCTGTGTCCCAGATTTTTGTGGTGAATAATCAAGAAGAGTTGGACCGGTTAAACACCGAAAATGCCTTAGCTTTTAGAAGAGATCAGAGATCTTTGTATTTTAAGGACACCTTTGGATGGCTCCCAATCCAGGTGAAAATATGACTGTGGTCTCGGAAGACTTGTGGGTGTATGTTTCGTTTTTAAATACAGAACATATTTCTGTACTCAAGGTGTCATACAGAATCAATGAAGCAATTGAAGAGAAAGCTCATTTTCGAGTACTGACACAACCATGTATTTTTGTGAATTCTGCTTACAGGAGTCAATTACTGAGGCATTAACTCATCAGTGTTGCAGGTCTTGCTAACCTCCCTGTGAACCAGGATGCACTGGTGAACAAACTGGGGCTGAATTCTGGGAATTAAGATAGTAAAGAGCATTTTTTACTTAATACAAAATAAGGCAAAACTCACCAGGGTACAAAGTTGCAGAAAAAACCAAACCCTGTAAACCAAACCCATATATTTCCTTGTCGCTTCAAGGAGCTAAGCTAAGTCCTGCTGAAATCATCAGCAGCATCCTTCTTGTGTCCACTGGACTTTGAATCAGATTCTGTATAAACCCTGTGAACCACCAAATAGCAGGATATGAAAAGCCGGTTGCGGGATCAACCTCCCACAGCCATTCACCTCTGCTAACTAGCCAGGCTGCTCGTGGTCCAGTTCAGTAACTGCTGTGTGTTTGTTTGGCCAGCTCACCCCTTTCTATCCTGTGGATTACCGCTTCGAGAATGGCGGGACCTGTGGAGATGGGATCGTCCAGGATGGGGAAGAGTGTGATGATGGCAATGCGGTTGTGACTGATGACTGTATAAGTAAGTTACAGCATGTCAAGAGCCGCCTTTTTCTTCCAGGGAAGGTGCATTAATTGTTTTCACAGGGTACACTGTTGTGCAAATGACACAAATGTTTCACCCAGTGGAGCTTTCTGAGTGCAGGCACGGGGAGAGGGAGGCACAATGGCCATAGTGTGAAAACGGAGGTCCTTCATGCATGTGGGTGCCACACCCCAGCACAAGGCAGAGGTGATGCCAAGTACTTCTTATGCATCCTCATTGAGGACTGTGTACCCACCCCTCTGAGAAGAGGTGTCTGCAGTCAGAGCAAACCCACCATGTTTCAGGGATCAGATCCAGTGGCTGGTTTACATATACACCTTCCCTGGAGGCTACTGGTTTTCTGGTCAAAAGATGTAGCATACCTTTGCAGTGCACCACAAAACCCCCTTAGGATACACATTGAAGCTGTCTGTTTCTAATAGTAAGCTAGATTCTGAGTGCAGTAAAACCGCTTTGGATTTTGTTACTCCCTTACATAGGGAAGGTGACAACACACTACCTTCACTACTAGGATTATACATTTGATTCCTGTCTAGTCAAGCTTCCTTTCATTTTGCTGGCTGTGGATAGCAAAGAGCATATAAGCATACAAGCAGCTGTGGAAACCTTCAGTTCTACCTTTCAGTTACTTTTACTGCTTGATTCCTTCCCCAGAGTGCACACCATCTATACCTGACACACAGCAGGTTTGGTACTCTGCTGGTTCTAGCAAAGGGATGCTTCTTCACACTTCAAAACAGGTATCAGCCAACATTATTAATTTATATAGCCCTCCATTTTTTAGCCTGACTTTGAAAATGAGATATATGCAGCTACATAAACTATTCATCCTCTTATCCATCAGCACCCTTCCCTTATAACTTGGGAATCCCAGCCAACTTCTCAGTGACAACAGGAAAGAGATTTCAAAGGCAATTCAGTTGCAACAGGTATAGGGACACATGTAAATAAATGTTTCTCTAAGCTTGCCTGACTGCAGAGTAGTCCAGTGAGAGAGCATGAGCACTCCAGGCTCCAAGCATGAGAAAATGATGTGGTTAGAATTTGCAATCAACTGTGGGAAACAAGCACGCAGGAAAATAGTGTTCATTAGTTCTAGTGCCTACAAAATTGTACATGGTGTGTCTGGAGGCACATTGTGTTACTTTGTGCTATACACTGGGCAAAGCTTCAGGTCAATGAAGGTCTTGCAATACATAGACTTCTGACACTGTGACCCAAAGAGTTATCATTGAGTTACTTGGAAATGAGCACATTGTCATCATTCTGCTCTTGTGACTGAACCAAAACAAAAAAGGTAACTAAATGTTAGGTGGATTTAATTGTCAAATAGGCTCATTGTTCTTAGAAGCATCAATTTCTAACAAACAGTTTCCTTGGTGAAATTAATTAATCATTTCTATTTGTAAAAACCCATTTTAACTCATAAACTCCCTATTCTTGAGTGTCATTTTAATCCATTGCTTAATAGTGTCTCCCAAGGGGATTTTAGCTAAATTAATTTGTTCAAGTTATAAAGTCATACTCAAAAAGTTGAAGACATCGACAGAAAAGTCTAATTGCTAAAATAGCAAACAAACCCATAATTACTGCAGCCTACATGCAAGTTCACCATGAAAAAATGTCACAAGGCCTACTCACGCTCAAGTCAGTAGGGGTCAGAAGTGGGAAAAACACCTTTTTGGTGATTGTTACATACTTTTTTTTTTTTTTTTTTAAAGACAGGCAATAGGTCTGCATAATTCTGTTCATATGTGGGAATTCACTTGCAGTAGACACGCATAGATACTCTGGAATATTAGGTGAAGGTCTCAGCTGGGATTTTCAAAACACTTAATGACCTCAGGGTGTGTTTTTGAAATTGTGACCTCCTCAAATCATTTATTTTAACTGCATCTTATGCTTCATTTGATTTGTTTTGATAGTAATTATCTATAGTAATAATAATTATTAGAATAAATGCTGTTGTAATTAGTGTTTCTGTAGTAATTATTTTAATAGTTAACCATTCTTTCCCTTGGTCATTGAAATTAGGCTATGAAAGGCATGTTCTTTGTAGTGAAGAATATTGCTCCTCCCAAGACTGTCCTTACAGGATGCCCTCACCAAAATGCCTTGTTTTATACTTTACCCTTAAAAACCTACTTCCACTTACCTCACCTGCCTCTTTTACATAGAAAGTGCCTTGAAGGTATTTCTTTCTGTATTTTTCACTAGGATGCCGCCGTGCTTACTGTGGAGATGGCTACAGACACGAGGGAGTTGAAGATTGCGATGGGAAGGATTTTGGATATTTGACATGTAAAACATATCTCCCTGGGTAGGTATGAGCTGTCTTCACTTCGGGCCAGGGTTTTTTTGTTGGGGGTTGTTTTTTTTTTTTCTCTTTGCCAGCTTTAAAATGAAAAAAGTATTACCAATTAAACCTTGTTCCACTGGGACCACTGCAGGCAGTGGGAGAGAAAGAGTCTATCAGATTATTTCTGCATATCATTGACTTTAAGGGCTAAATCTCATCTCTCAGTAAAAAAGCACATGCCTCTTACTGTACAAAATGAATGAAGGTCACCTAGATATATGTTTGCCCATTGTTTGCAAAGATTTCCTCATTTGGTGACATTATAACTGCATTAATGTCACATACCAACAGTAGGAAAGACCATGAGAAGGAAATGATCATTCTGAAGGAGAAAAAAAATCCAACAGACCTCCTGTTGCCCTGACCAGTGAATGGGTACTCTAGGTGTATCTTTGTGTCTGAATCAACGGGTCATCTATCAGCCTTTCCAAATACCAGGAAATTCACTCAACAGCAGATGTAAAGCCACGCATCTGCTTAGCAGTGTCCTTCATTTAAAACATCTGCTTATTGTTGACTTGCCTTCTCTGCCTCTGTTTAAGCAGCTTCCTCTGGTCAGCATTTTGCTTCCAGCAGCAATACCTCTATTTAACTGTCAGGTATTGTTACAGGCTAACAGGAAACGTTTAATTTGCAAATGAAATTATACGCAGAGCCTTCATCATTCATGGAATAATAATGCGCTAATTGACAGGAGTAAGAAACCACAGGATGTCTTTGTAAATCAAGTGCTGTGCTAATCCCTCCACTGCAATTGTTGGAGCACTCCTGGTGTACTAGATTACACAAATCGAGACCAGCAAACCTGACAACCTGAAACATTTTACAGACATCTCATCTTCAGACAGTGTAGAGTTGTTTTCTACTGTGAGAACTACTCACTTCTAAAAGTCTGAAGTTTGGTGTCAAAAATAGCATAGCAAGATCTTGAGAGATTTTTATAAATTTCACTTTTCATGTATGATCAAGCTGTGAAGAGCAGCTGAGATCCTTTATTTTTGTGTGTGCAGTCTGCAAATTATCTGATAAACTAAAAAAAAAAGCTGTAAAATGGGATAAATATGTGAGCATGGCACTCCCATGGGAGTTTCATCTCAAATCACCTTTTCTTCCGCAAGCTCTACTGCAACTGATTTTCCCATTTTCTACTCTTTCCAGCCCCCAAATCCCTCCTCATATTTCACACACCTTCACTTCAGATCTTACGTTGGTTTTTGAAGAATATGGGTTATCCAAGAACATGGTTTTAAGGACCTGCTCAATGGCTGCTTAATCTGCAGTTTGTGGATTATTTGATGGATGGGTTATTCACTTAGAGATATGCTAGCAATAAAATCTCATTAAAATGTTTGTTTTATTGACATCTCTGGTCAGGTCATCAGTAGGTAGAGTCACTGCAGCTCAATCTAAATCAGTAGAAAGACAAAATCATTGTTTTTCCTTATTTTGCAATGACCCACCCTTCAATTTACTTTTTTTAGTTTCAAAGTTGGGCATGTGTCACAATCATTATTTCAAGTACATGAAAAATAAGTTAGACAGGCACAGTCATGCCTGCTGGAGCTATTGGAAGTAACTGGGAAAACACTTAACTCAGAACCTCAGATATTTCATTACACAGTTCCTGTGGGTGAGCGCCAAGGCCTCCTACACCCACCCCTGCATAACGCCCAAGTCCCACTGCTAATGGGGATTCTATATTTTTAACTGACATTACTGGGAATTAAGTCTTCACTCATAGTTTCTCCTGGACTCTTATTTTGCTGACAAGGGGGAGCACAGTGGAGCACTGATGGAAATTACCTTCTTATTTTGGTTCCCATATGTTGCTGCACATGGCGTTTTTCTGATGTTCCTCACTCCTTCAGCGATTTACATCCAGAAACCATATAATGTGAACTATAGCATACTTTGAAACTGAGATATTCTCTTTTATTTTAGGTCTTACGGAAAATTGAGATGCACTTCTTACTGCTACATTGACTCTACACAGTGTCGATACTTCACATGAGGGAAGCGGAGGTGGGCAGCATCCCACATGTAGTGGGGTGCTAGGTGCTACGCTATCACATATGTAAGCAGGACTGGGACAAAAAAATCCCCACCCACCTCTATGTGAAAACCAACAAAGAGACGTCATGCTGCTGATGGCCATTTTGAGATTTTTTTTTTAAATTAAGTCAGACTGGGAAAAAATAGGACCACTGCATCCTGTCTTAATAGAGAAAGGTCAAACAGTGTTTGCCAGTAAGACTTCCATGTGGCTGTGGATGGCAGCTTGCTCTCCATCACAAATGCAACGTTAAGCTACTGGAAACTGAATTTCACTAACCAGGAATATCGTGTAACAATTACCTCGACTTAGCACTGTTAAACCTACATGTAAGCTCTTCAGGGTTTTTGTCTTTAAACCTTCTCAGCATAAACACGAAGCATATCTTGGATGTGGTGTTTATAGAGACTGTTTCTTTTATTGCAATGTGAACTTTGCAAGTGTTATATCCACATGAATGATAACTTCAGCTACATTAAGGTTAACTATACACCTTTGCAGGTGAAAGGAGCAGAGGCCCTTCAGTAAGTGCTTTCAAGATGAGCAAATCAGCCAAAAAAAGCTGGTTAACTTCACCTTCAGGCTAAGACATTTGGCTCTGTGTGTCTCTGCTCATGCATGGTAATGCAAGCAGTCATAGGAGGCCTGAAACTGGAGACCACAAAGGCCAAACTGTACAGATAAACTGTGAAATAGCCAAGGAGCTGTCTCCCAGAAGAAAATCAGAGAAGGAGGGAAGATAAAGAAGAAACATATTTCCGCATTGTTCATCTCTGTCTTGCTGGCTGATCTCTGCGTGACCCCAAAGGGGCTGGGACAGTGTTGGTTACCTGCCTGAAACTACAGTGTGACCACATACACATTGCTTTCACTCTGTTTTCTACACTGAAGGTCTTTTTGTTTTCATCCCCTTGTCCACCCAACCGCCATCATTCAATTACCAGTTATACCCTGTCCTCTTTTCCCCTCTCTCCCTCTCACTGTTTCCACCATCATGTCTAGGGTACCCCTCAGTGTATGTTCTTACTTTTTTATCACTGTAAATCAGATTTTGAAGTAGGGTGTTTATGGATGCTCATTCATGCTGTCAAATGTACATGTACTTCTGTTTTTCATAAAGTTTGTTCAACTATATTAGCTCTGATATGAGTCAGGGTAATGATATACTTATTTATTAGCAAGCTTAAAGAGCAAATTTCCATGAGAAGCATATTAAATGTTATGTGAAAAAGAGTATAACAGAAGAAAAGTAAACAAAGAAAGTGCAGAATTCAGGACTAAAAGCCTCAAATCAAGGTGTTATTTTCATACAAGCCACTCTGCTTTGTGATAAATGCTGTACATGACTGTTTGAAATGCGTGAGTTATCTGCACCAGTGACAGCACTGCAACAGCTGCACTTACACTGGTACTTCGGTAAAGGTTAAATAAAGGTGGGCGTTGCATTATAATGATAATGCATTAAGGCAATCAAGAAATGCATACAACTTTTATCGCCTGTATAGAAGACTTCAACTCTGCATGTACAAAGTGACACTGGAAATCACCAATTAAAAAAAAAACCCAGACAAACCAAAATTAGTGTTCTCTTTGTGGTTCTCACTTACCTGGGCTATTTATGATGTTATGAAGCCAAGCCACCAGCATTTGTGGCCCGGTTCAATAGTTCAAAATTTTTCATCTTGTTGTTTTTGTTTGTTTGTTTTTTAAACAGAGGTCTTAAGAAAAGGTCAAGAGATCACTGGGCCAAGGAACTTGCCATAAACTCTGGAAATCTGGGCACTAGTACAGCTGCCTTTTAATTTCCTGTGCTTGCACAAACAGCAGGTTCCCGCAGTGTCACACCACGTGGGAGCACGTATCCTGGCGGGAGGCTCTCGAGGACAGCCACGGTCCCAGCAGCACGTCCTGCTGGCCAACCCTCCAGCTGAGCCTCTGGCAGCATCTGCTGGGGGCTACCGTCCTGGGCTTGGAGAAACTTCATCTGAACTTCTCATCTTCTCCAAGGAGTTCATCTCTACTCCCCAAAAGCCTGAAGTCTTTGAGAAATTTGGTAATCCCAGTGGTCTTTCCCCTTCAGTTTTAAGACGCATCATTTTTAAAAGCGACTACCTCCGAAGGACATCGGAGTTGCAAAGCTAGGCACACAGAGGGTAGGAAATGTAAACAGGAGATGTGATTGCATAGATAAAATTGTACTGTGCTGGACAGCTGGACATGTTCAGGAAGGGGCATATCAGTCTGCTCAGAAAACATTTACAAAGCATGGATTTTAAATAGACTTTATTAATACAGCACAAACAACTCAGCATCTTAACAGAAAGAAAGCAATATAAGATACAAGGGGAAAAAAAGAAACATGAAACAAGTTTCTTACTACCGTTACTGTCTTGTTCCCCTCAGATGATAAATATGAGAAAGACAGCTGGGAAGGTGTTAAGTATATATGATTTTAAAAGGCTGCAAAAGAAATCCTTCTCCTTTATTTCTGATACACCTGCTTTGTCAGTAAGTCAGGATTCTTCAGCTGGGTGGTGTCTGGTCTGCTGTGAATTATCTTCCTTTCTTCTCTGAGTTTCTTAACACATTGTGCCAAGACTGGTTCAAAAGTTAATCGGGTTATTTTAGTTCCTTGGCCTTTTTAAGCAGCGAATGCTTGTGAGAGTTTTCTAATGATTAGTATGCAACTCAAGACAAATACACAAACAGTATGATCTTACATCATGCACTGTATTAAATGTATACTAAAGATCCAGCTTGCACTTAATATATAATTAAATATATGTAGTTACCCACTCCATGTATTAGCAGCTCATATCAATAAATCATGCTGCCTTAGTTCTGCTATGTCCCTATTTTCACTTATTTCATTTTGGGGTTAACAACACAGTTTTAAAATATAATTACCTAGCTTAAGATGCTGGAGAGGGAAAAAAAACAGTGTCACCTCTCCCACGCCTGTGGTCTCTCCTTGCCTGCCGCTGGACCCAGCTCTGTATGGGTGCACTACATTCCTACACCCAGACTTGCCTCTGCCTCAGCCTCAAACTGACCCATTCAACACGCCGTATGAAGAACTGCTATCCTTTTGTTGATTTCTGGATGTAATCAATGTCACATGGACTACTTTTATTAAGGCTTTGGGCTGTGGTTTGGGGCATTGTCTCCTCCTGCTATCTCATCATGTACTGGCTGGCTTGTAACTCCTGCCAGAGGCTGAGCTGATGGCTGCAAACCAGAAAGCAACAGCATCGGGTGTTGAGGGACACTGGGAACAGCGATGTTGGCACCTAGAATTTGGTCACTCCCAGCAGCTGGCACCCAGGCTTTGGGAAGAGGCTCCTGCCTTGCAGTAGCAGCTGGAAAGTCGGTTCTCCCGAGGCTTTTGTCTGTCCCCAGGGGAAATGTAAGTGTATTGACAGCCAGAGAATGAATGAGTCTGTGGGGTGGTAAATTTTCTGCCTGTCCTTTCTAAAAGCTCAGATTCTGTGACAGTCAACTCTGCCTTCCCAAATGCCTACATCATGTCTTTCTTCACTTCAAATCATTCAAAATTGCAGCTGCCAACCCTGTCTTTGCCCATAAATCTGGCCATGCAGCTCATCTCCTTTCTTTGTTCTTACAGTTTCCTTTAACAGCACCAAAGTTCATATCCTTTGTAGCCCCTCCAAAACCCTGCAACGCCCCTGTTGCTCTGCAGGCACCGGGTTTCATCGGCTTCTTTTTCAGGCTCTCACTCCATCCCTTTTCTAACATCTTCTGCAAACAACACAGCAAATACCCTTGGCCTTGGTTCTTACCTCCTCAAAAGATGGCTTCTTAGAGAAGCCAACCTCAATGTCTCTAAAAATCACATGGTGCAATTCCCATTTCAGTCCCCCTGATTTGGACAAGGGGAGAGGGGATTGGTAGTTATCCTTAAACTGAGAGTCCCCCAAAACAGGCACTGTCCTTGAGCATCAGCTGCTTATGAGTAATAACAGCAATTAGTCCCCAGATCACTGCTTTTGGGGACAATTCAATAGCTTTGGCACTCTGCTACCACATAAAATAATGGCATGTATGAAAAAAAGAAGACCAGAGTAAACCCAAGAAAAGTAAACCAGTGCTGTGCTGTGATTCTTTGATGCTACTCAAGCATATCATGCAGGCAAGGCAATACTACAAGTTGTTGGAAAAAAATAATGGTTTAATTCACAAAAGGCAAAGCAACAAAGAGAATTTTGTGATAGACTTTCCAGTTCTTCCTCTGATAGCTTTTGTCTGAGGAGATGGATGTGGCAAAGCAAGTGTCCCTTCACTGGAAATCATTCTCTTGCATAGAAAACACCAAGTAATGGGCTATTGAACTCTGGTACAGACAACGTAAGGTGCTGGTAGAAAGGCAAACTAAAGCAGGCAACTACTGAATGTAAAATTGGGATCACCTCAGAGCAACAGACGCTTATTGATTTGGTAAGGGACTGTGCAACTTGCAGACCATTTGAGCACTGCCAGACCTTAATCAAAGAGAAATAAGGAACAAAGCCTAAGCAAATGAGTCATTTTGTGTCTTTATTGAACATGGTCAGTGAAAAAAAAAAACACTGTAATGATGCATTCAGTTACATGCCCGGCGATACGCTCTTTGTTGCAAACTGGGTGCCTCTGTGCTGAAGGCTGGTGTCACTCCAGGTCTGAAGAGGTCAGAGCAAAGCCTGGGAATATGCTTTCATTGCACTGGTAATTACTGGGGCATTTAGAAGGATGGCCCTGAACCAGCCCAGCCAAGGAAAAGCTGTGTTTGAAAGGATAACCAGGCCAAATTACATTAGAGTAGTCCTGCTGGAAATCACATTAGTGACCACTTCCCTCCCTCCACCCCCAACAAAATCTTGGCACTTAAGAAGCACTGAGCACTGGACCTTTAGGGCTTTTAATTCACTCTGACAGTTTCCTGTGCATCTAATGGAGGGTCCAGTTTGGATGCACAATCTTTTCAAGTGAGAGAGAACAGGATTTAAAAAGCCACATTTTGCTGCAGCCTTCCCACCTGCTACTGAACAAGTAGTCCTCCCTGCATGGGGCACTGCTCAACATTTTCTTTGGGGAAGGAGGGGGAAAGAGAACCATGGAGCTGAATCCACCAAAGCCTCCCATAGCAAAGCCAAGCGGTGCTGCAGGGCGCTACAGGGAGCCAGAACCTCTCTGGCCATTGTGCTCGGGGCACGAAGGGGTCTTGTGCCACATGTGCATCAGAGCATCTCACTGTCTTCAGGAAAAGCCATCTGTTGGGCTGTCCCTAGGGCCGATGGCATTTCCTGCAGGACACAGAGAAGGACAAAGCACTCCCTATTAGGCTGGGAGCCTGCCTGGCTGGTGTGCAACAACACAAATGCAGAGCCTTGACAGAGCAGGAATCTGAGGTAAGGGCACAATAAATCAGCCAGGAGGAAGAGGAGGTAACATTAACCTCCTCACACAGCAGCACAGTTAGTATATTTAGAAACTCAGCAACTGATGACCCTCTCTCACCCAGTCTAAAGTGTCACTGTTTAATAAGTGAACAAACTGAGATCAGCATTAAATTCCAGCCTGTGGCAAGATGTTTCACCCTTGTGCCAGGCATGGTAGGAAGCTTTCAGGACTCATCTTGGAGAGAAGACCTTTCAGGGACCTCAGCATCCCCTGCGTGGGGTGAGCACGGGGCGGATGACTGTTATTCACCGTCACCCTCCCAAGAGGAGGAGGCACCCAATGGCATTTCCCACTGAACCACTACTGAGTGCTGACTTAAGATGTGGAAATGTAGGCATGTAAGACTTATTTTCCTTTGCCCTCTTATCCAGCGTGTCTCCAATTTGGTGGAGCAAGGAGGGACTGCTCTGGGGTTCCCACACTGTTCTCCACCACAGGGGCCCAGAAAATTTTTAGTGATTAATTTTGTTCGGAAGAGAAGAGCTCCCATTGGCTCCCTGTTCTTCTTGTTTCCAGCAGCCATGTTCCCCCATGAAACTCACCATGCAGGAGCTGGGGGAGGCTGTGCTGAGATAGTCAGACATTCAGGGCAAGTTATGTTTGGTGTTTCCAATGCCTTCCTCACAGAGGTTATATGATGGATAAACATATAGGGGAACCTGGCAACCCTGACACTTTACAACAATATAATTTCTTTTATACATTTCCATTGGGTTTGCCATCTTGCCTACCTGGCACTACTGCTCTGAGGATGGGATGAGCTGAGTAAAAGAATATTGATGACTGCTTAGGTTTTGAGTTGCTACCAGCTTTAAAGGGAAGGATGACTGATTAGAGGTAAGAAACAGAGAACAGTTCAGGCAACTGAACTGTCCAGAAGTGTCCTGTTAAAACGCATATATTATGGGGCAAAACCCACAGCGAGGCTGGTTGTGAAGAACAACAAAAAGCCAGATTTAAGCTGTGATGCTCCAGTGCATTCAGATAAACTGTCATAAACCATCTGGTGGCCGTTGTGTTGAGTTACTCTTTCCCTTCCATTTGACCAGAGATTAGTTGTCAAACCCAGCAGTACCCCCAAAGCAGTGGTGTGGGACCAGTGGGGTAAAGCTGGTAATCTCAGTGGTTTGGGTGGATGCAGGGAAAGTCAGAGTCTTGCTCTGTGCCAGGACTTTCTGAGCAAGACAACATCTGGTGTGAAATGCTACAGGATTACAGATTCTAAATAAAGCCGGGGAGCTGTACCTGTTGCTGGCTGGGGTCAGCAGGCTCTGCCTTAAGCTGTCTGAGATGAAGTTGTTATGCCAATCTAAATGCTAAATATTTGTTCTCTGCTCCACATGATCACATTATTTGATGAGCAATAATGTCCTGTACGCTTGCCAGGGAGTAACTATATGGCAGGGAGGATTGAACTGCTGTGACTGGCCCTTAGGGCAAATATGTTGACACGGAGGGAGTTTGCACTGGGTATAGGCAAGGCAGAACTGAGCCCTAAGGACATACAAATAATGTGATTATTCCTCCTGCATTCAGCAGTCAAGTGTCTGTTAGGTCATTTGTAAGGGGAAACTCATGCTCTCTTTAGCCATACTGCTCCTGTATTTTGCAGCCCTGAGGATGGCAGGATTCCAGCTGCAGCGTAAAGAGAGGCAAAGATTCCCTCAAAATGCAAAACCACCCAAAAGGTGGGTAGCAACGTCTCAGCAGTGAGGTTTGCGCAGTGCCATGCAGCAGAGCTGCAGGTGATGCCAGGTGGCTCAGGTTTTTCTCCTTGCTTGCAACAGCCATGCCCAGGTTTCACAGCAGGGTGGTCTGTTTGGTGAGTGTGTCTGTATGTGAAGATTAAAGACTTCTTAATTTCTATTGCACCAATGGCCAACGCACTG